GGGGGGGGGGGGGGAGGGAGGAAGGGGGCGCACTCTTGTTTAGCATGTCTTAGTTGGTAACCCATTGACCACCATTGACCACCTGTCCTAGGGAGGACGGAGGGAGGGGGGGCTTTGGGCGGTGGGTATTTTACCTGTTTCGCCTTGATTCGTGGCTCTCACTACCTCGTTGCGGTACCTACTTTTTTTTTAATCGTTTTTATGTCTATGGCCGGGTTCTAACGGCAAGCCTTGGTTGTTTCGCAAAGCCAAGAAGAGCTGTGGTCGTTGAGGGGGGCACCGGGAGGGGAAGGGAGAGAGACGTGTTCGACAGGATGCACGCATGGCTCAGCAGATATTGTGTGTGCATAATCGCCAGGTACAGTAGTGCTTGAAGTGGTGCCCGTAAAAGGCTGGTGCAATGGCGTGACATGGATGGAAGTATTCCAAGTCGTCTCGTACCCTGCAGTAGTGTCTGCCGGGTGCTCGGTACACGGCCGGCCAAACCCCTTTGCACCACGTGGCCTTACACACGGAAACCTCTACTGCCGCAGCTTGCAAGCTCGGCTATTGATAGGTGTTGTGCCGATCCGATGATGTCATGCACCCCCCGCCCGCCTTGTCTCTCCGCACTTTGTTTTGATTTTCGTCCGTCGTTTCCTCTTGGCCTTATCCTCATACAGGATCGAAGGACGCGACGGCACGGGTGTTCTTTGTAAACGATACGGGCGAGGATGCCGCCTTCGTACCGACTACCCTGGCAGGTGACAAGATCCCGCCCGATAGACGTGTTGCTGTGGCTGTGGCTGTCATTGTTGGTGCTGCTGCCCCTCTTGCTGTTGCCTCTGCTCTTGCTGTTGTTGTTCGTGGTGCTCTTCGTTATCGTGGTCATGAAGTAGGTCCAAGAGGATAAAGAAACTTTGAGCGTATCTATGGCCCAAGGTTGCTGGGCATCTCACCCTTCGAGCAGTTCGCAGCATCTGCGTACCCCCTTCCCGTTCCGCAAATCTACGGAGTCCCGAGACACAAGAACCCGACACTTTCCTGCACCGCGTCACCCCCCCCCCCCCCCCNCTACCCCCACTTAGTTTTTCTCCCGCCCGCCGGACCGGACGCAATGACCCCCCGCAACGAACAACTTTCCCCGTGGTGATAAAAACAACAAAACAGGGCATCGTGACGGGCTGTGCGGCTGCTTCGTGTCCGAGAGCGGCGACGAGGTGTACACGGTGGCGAGGGACGGGGGAGTGTTCGCGTGGGAGTGGGTCCCAGACGAAGGGAGAAAAGCCTCCTTGCTGCTGCCGCCGCCGCCGTCGCCGGAGCCGAAGAAGAGAAGGAGTGAGGGAGGGAGAGAGGGAGATGATTCTTCGCTATCCGGGGGGGAGGAGGAGAGCGATGATGGCGGTAGTGAGGGGGAAGGCTCTGGGCAGGAAAGTCAGGAGGAGGAGGAGGAGGAGGAGCAGCACCGACGACTTGATTTTGGGAAGGTAAACATAACCCTGACATTTTTCATCGCGCCTCGTGATTGTTGCCCGAAAAGCACCCCGAAGCCTTGTCGGAGCTGTATTCTGCCGATGATTTTTTTTTCGCGTGGTTCGTGCCCGTTGTGAGCCTGCCGGTGTTGCGATACACAAAGCGACCGAAGATGCGTTCGCGATCTCTTAACACGGCTTCTTCTCCGATAGTGGGAATCCGGGGGGGGGGGGG